CTTCGAGATTGTTCTGAGGTTAAATACAGATTTCTGGATGAAATTATTTTTACATTTCCAGCTCTGGAACGCATTAACTCGCCATGGTGAGTCAACTCTCAGTCAAGTTGTAGCCCAAAGCTTTCAGACAGACATGGTGCTGCAAATTTAAACAAGAGAACCATTCAAATCAGAGTAGCATCACTTTACAAAACGGCCTTTAAATGGCAGGCATCGTGCACATCAAAAACAGGCAAAGCAACAAATATTATTCAACATATCCTAGTTTTTACAGAAAATATTCTGATGAAACCTTTGTAATCGTTAACATTTTCATAAAACTGTGATTTAATTACACATTTCTTCTCAGTAACTGTAACGGATTAGTTACATTTATTTTGTAATTAAATTACGTAGCACTGTTATGTGTAGGCGAATTACTCCCCAACACTGGTGATGAGGCAGTTGGTTTCTCCCTAAAATTCAAGATATCAGGACAAAAATGCCTCTGTATAAGATTTTGTCTCATATTTATATCCTATGATAGGCCTTAGTTGAGCAATTTCACATCACATGAGCGGAATCGCATGAGTGCTGTTTTTGTAGCTGAATAGCATGAGTGCAAATGTGATATTGATTTTATAAAGCAGTTCAATATTGTGTTATATTTTAGACACAATATTGTTTGTTTTTGCTCATTTTTGCCAACGAAAATATGACCTATAAAGCCAGAGCAGAACTGATGCAACACAATCAACACACAGCAGCAGTGTTTTGTTACTGAATGATTCCGTGTCTTGAGTGAATCAATCGGGGGACTGTGAACCAATGATTAATGACCAATTCATAAAGAGAGCCATTTAGGCTACTTCATTCCAGAATGAATCAGCTGTTTTAACGACGAACGAATCAAATGAATTAATGAATGACTCAAAGGCTGTGTCTGAAATCGCCCCCTATATCCTTAAATAGTGCACTATTTGAGCAGACAGCCATTTGTAGTGGTGTCCAAAACCATAGACATTATCGAGTGCAGTCGTTCAATCCCACAATGCACCGCAATAACGAGTGTACAACCGAACCGATGTATGTTCAACGGCTAGAGGCAGCAACCTCTAGTAACACACTAAAATCTTCCGGAGCACCCTTGCAACCTTATAGCAACACACTAAAGACAAACCCTGCAATCAGAACACCATATATCAGCCCAGACCACGCTATCAACCTCATTGTGATATACTAAAAAAACACCCCAGCAACCATCCAGACCACTATAGGCTAGCTACCTCATAGCAACAAAAGAAAAAAAACAAAAAAAAAAACAACCCCACCCAGAACACATCATTGATCCATCCAAAACAACCATCCACCCAGAGCACCCTATCAGCCTCAACGCAACAAAACCCGGAACTCTATGCGCGTTTCTATTACAGATTTGCGCAAAACTTTTGCGATTTTTTTCTAAATGTCTATAAAAAACTATTGCGAAAATTACAGCGTTTCCATTAACCGATGTTATTCGACTAAAACGTAGCCCAATTTTTCCTCTCGCGATCAGTCATTCCAAAAATCATGGCAACGGATGTTGGTTTATATGATTTATAGGCCTATACATCCCAGGCACCACACTAGCCATTATTTTTAATCAAAAGGAGACGTAGGCCTGCGTGTTATCCAAGCTTTAATGGTAAGGAAAGCCCCATACTTGTGAGTGGCACATGAGGTGTTTCTCCCTCATATCTGCTTCAAGCTCTTGATTGTGGCATTTCTTTGAGGTTTAGAATTTATCTTTTATGAATTTAAGAACTCTGTCTCGTCTTCTGTCCAAAACATCGCCATCTACGTAAGGTGACCTGTAAATGCTTAAAAAATGTTTTCATTGCAGTTTTGTGAAATACGGTATTCCTTTTTCACATTGCCTGGAAAACCACCTCATGCGAGCGTAAAAACATTTTTGCGATAAATGGGAGTTTTTTTTTTTTAAAAATTGGCGTGTTTCCAGTAATGGAAACGTTGCTAGCATCTGCATAGCAATAGCATTGCAATATTCATTTGCCATTCAATGCAGAAGTCATTAAGAAGTCTTCCTGCATGATTTGAAGATGTGCTCCTGTAGAACATCTGTCTTTTTACCTGCACCATGCAGGTGCATTGAATATCATGTGACGCCCTCAAGTCCTCTGTAAAAATATGCATGACCCCGTAACCCCTCTGCCACCATTCAGCTCTGTTCTATTAGATAATATAAGTGCATGTGTGTATGAAGTGGTATACACTAATGACATTATGCAAACATTATTCAAGTGGTTCTAAATAAACAAAACATGACGCATTAATTCATTCCTCTCTAATGAGCTTTACTGAGGAAGACCGAAGGACTTTTAGAGCTGCAGGTCTATTGTCTGCTGAGGGTGTAAAATTTACAGCACCTGCTGTTACTAATAAGGTCTGGAACCTGGATTCTTGCATTGACATTAAGTCATATAAATTATGATCATATGATTATTAAATCAGGCCACAGTACCAGAAACAAAAGCAAAATATATTACAGCAGGAAATGGATCTGGGAAGTTCACATCTTTCTATCCATCCATCCATCCATCCATCCATCCATCCATCCATCCATCCATCCATCCGCAGCCATTATCCAGTATTCGGTGTCACATGACCCCTCAGAAATTTAAAATGCTGATTTGGTGTTCAAGACACATTCATTATCAAAATATTAAAAATATTAAAATATTAAAAATGGTTGTGCTGCTTAACATTTTTGTGGAAACCGTGATACATTTTTTTAGGATTCTTTGATAAACTGATCAAAATAACATTTATTTGAAATAGTATTTGTATTTGTATTTATTTGTACAAGTATTTGGTTACAGTGTAAAAGTCTTTACTCAATTTTGATCAGTTTAATGAGTTCTTGCTCATTTATTTATTTATTTTCTTAAAACTTATTGGCCCCAAACTGTGGTGAATGAATTGAACTAAACACTTTTAATGCTTGTGTCATGTTCTGGTAGTTGAGCTATAGGAACTTTTCATCACTTTAAACATCACATATATATTATAGATGTAACATTATCAGTTTAACATGAGGTACACAGGTTCTATACTGTCAATCAAACTTTTCATGTACATACATTTTTTTTTTTTTTTATTGTTTTTTTTTAATATCATGACCGGAAGGGTTATACCACTTGTACTTCTTCTGGAATCACAAAGATTGCACAAAACTGGCCAGTGTATTAGGCATATTGTCAAATTTATGAGAACTGACTAATACACACAAACATACTAAGTTACATTGCGAAAAATAAAAATTGTTACAACAGCCCGGGTTCCCCCGTCTGAGTTTCAGTTCACAGGAACAACAGAAAATGGCTGGGATTAATAAAAACACAGAACTGTGTAAGAGAGCACTGCACTGTAAAATGTTTATTGTCAAATTACTGTAACTTACTGGCTTACAATTATCCAGTTGCTGTATTTCTTTATTTCATGAAGTATTTCATACTTTAAAATAAGAATTATACTGTTATTTTTATTATTACTTTTTTTATTTTACTGTTATATATTCAATAACACAATTTATTGCTTCAAAGCTTTATTCAGGTTTCATCTTTTACATTTATAGCTGAACTTCAGGAGAATATACAGATTTTCCAGCATATTAACCATATTTAATCAATGAACAAAATACAATTATAGCCATACCAGTAAAATCACAGTAACACACTGTGCCAGTGGAAAATGGAAATACAAAAATAAAAGTTTGAAGAGTTAAAGTACTTAATTAGAAGCATACAACAATCACTTAAAACGTTTAAAAGAAAACCAAATGTTATAAAGAAGACCACTTTTCCCGCCTGTCTCACGATGGTCCAGCCGCTCTGCCAGAGCTGCTGCAGTCATTTACTACTGTATTTAGATTTACAGTAGGCTAATATTTTCCCAGAATGCATTGAAAATCTACAGTAATGTACACATACGGTATGAAACTGTTAATACAGTAATAATGCTGTGAAAATGACAAAATCTGCAGTAATAGCCGTATTCAGATTCTATAGTAGGGAATTGTTGAGAATACAGTAATATTACTGTGAAAACAACAGAAATCATTCAGTGTGTCAAAAGTAAAAGATATAGGCTATGGTCTTGCTCTGTCAGTTGAATCTGTTTCCTCTCTAATTGTTTGCTTACAAGTGAACCTGTGCAACGACAATCCAGCAACATGTAGACACCTGCTTCCTCTTTCTCTCTTAAAACCAGGTCATGTGTGGTTTAAAAAAATCAAGAAACATCTCAGGGGTGAAAAATATAACAGATTCAGGGTGCATAAGAAGAGTTTCTGTCATCAAGAGATAATGTTTTTAATCACATCCGTATTTAAAAGCACACTAAGATATTGTATTATTAAATACTACAATTATACAAATCCATTATGGCGTGTCATTTTAGAAGTATGATATTTATGTGGGTTTTATTATGTTAAGTGATAATCTGCATTCTGCACAGACTAAATCTTAATCGGGTTGGATTATATTGTGTGACCTCACTGTCCATGTTTAAGATTAGAAGACAGATATTTTTTCACATTTCAGGCAATACTGTGTGCATGTAGGCTACATCTACATCACTATCATGATAAGTTTAGTTCATCATAACACCTGAAAGCATGTCAGTGTTGTCTCGTTTGTTTGGTGACATTAGTGTGTTACATTTCTTCAGTCTGTGCAAATGAACAGTTGCGTTTTTTAAGCAAATAACTCACATTTACATTCTAGAAAACAAAGCTTTAAAAAGGGGACAATACATAATAACATGCTTTGAATGTGTAGCCCTTTTTTCTTTCTAAAAGATGTAGAACAAGAGGACCTCAGACAGAGCGCGTCTGAACTGTACACTGAATTCGACGCGACGCTTGAACAAATTCGTTGATTGGTCGACTGGCTGCCGACGTCACATTCCATTCGAAACCTTGAAAAACGCGACGCGCTAGTTTGCAGCTAGATGCTGGGGGTGTCATCATCACACACGCGCAGATCAGGTTTCACTGGACATAGTCTCTCGCGCAGGCCTACAGTAACGACAATGGCGACTGGAAAAATCACACACATCTACTGCTTCCTCTGAATATCTCCGCTAAAAATGCGCTGCTCGAGGTGTGACGGTGGAAACATGAGTAATAATATCTTGTGAGTTGGCTAATATTAGTCTTTGCGCGTCACGGCAGCTTTAATAATAACGGATTGAAGATGGCGGAGTTTTCTCCGGTGCTGCCTCCGTTGCGGGATGATGGAGGAGGCGGACGGTACGGACAGCCGCTGTTCCCCAGATCCCTGTCCGGTTCGGAGTCGGACAGTGAATTATCGCAGAGTTTGGCCCGCACAAAGACGCGCTCGTATGGCAGCACCGCGAGCGTCACGGCGCCGTTAGGAGAAACATACATAGAGCACCGGGTAACGGACGGGGACACACTGCAGGGTATAGCACTCAAATATGGTGTTACGGTGAGTCTCACATCAATAAAGTCACACACATTTGCAAGAAACCATCTCCTAGTCATCTCCATACATATTCAACGTTGTTTTGCATTCTTTTGGAGCATCATGTACAAAATGGAGTGTGTCCCAAAAACTAGTGTGCTGCCTATCTAGACAACATTTTTGGGACAGCAATTTTTGGGCCCATGCCGTTACGTATTACCTAGTGAGCTCCCTACTTAGGCAACGTTGTTGTAAGTTACTTTTTTTTTTTTTTTTTACCATCATAGACGCGACGGGGCACCTGGAAATTTGAGTTTACCCAGCTAACAATAAAATCGAAGAAAATGAATGTGAGCATCCACGTTCAAAACGTCCTGTTTTTTATAAATGTTTTTTTTTTTTGGGTTAGGGTTAGGCTATACGGGAAAATACCATTATGGGAACGTAACGTTACTTTTGAATGTTCTCTGAACCTTCTGCAACAAGTGATAACAATTAAACAACATCAGATACACGTCCAACTAAACTTTCCATGAATGATGTATAAATGTTTTTGTCCTGGCGTTTTCGTAAAAATTTAAAGACCAGATACCTTTAAAACAAATCTACAGTACCCCCGAAAAGCATTTATTCACAACTTTGAGATAACCTTGCCAAAACGTTTCCTGTTAGCATAGCCTGTGGCTGAATCTGAAATCGCCCCCTTCACTCAATCACTAGTCCCTTTGTTAGTCCACTAATACAGTTCACTTGGAGTGAATGAAAATGAGTAAGTGAGTTAGGATAGCCGTTGAGTGTACATCGGCTGTACACTTATTATTGTGGTGCAATGTGGGGTAGAATGAGTGCATTCACTATGGTTTCGGACACCACTACAAATGCCTGTCCCCCCAAATAATGCCCTATTTGAGGGTATAGGGGGCGATTTCGGATTCAGGCATGCCTCAAATCCTAGTAAACTCCCTCAAAGGGATAGTTCACCCAAAAATGAAAATTCTGTCATCATTTACTCACCCTCAAGTTGTTCCAAACCTATGTGAATTTCTTTCTTCTGCTGCACACAAAAGAAGATATTTTGAAGAATATCTGTAACAAAACAGTGGATGGGCCCCATTGACTTCCATAGTATGGAAAAAAAAACTATGGAAGTCAATGGGGCCTTTCAACAGTTTGATTAGAGATATTCTTCAAAATATACCATTTTGTGTTGTTCAGCAGAAGAAAGAAATTCATACAGGTTTGGAACAACTTGAGGGTGAGTAAATGATAACAGAATTTTCATCTTGTCAAACAGTGTAAAAAAAAAAGAAAAAAAAAAGGATGTTATCTACCTACATTTAGGGCATCATAATTGTGAAGTTTGAGTATCATTACCTGTCATATACTCAAAAACCGCTGTGTTCAAAACTAAGTGAGCAGTCTAAGAAGAATTTTAGGGCATTTTTAGTCATTTTAGAATATAATTGGCTTGTTCTGCGTGATGAAAATGTCCTATGATGGCAAAAAATGCTGTGAATCAAAATCCAGACAGCATTTTTGAACAGTCTAGATTGGCTCAAAACCTATTAAGTTGTCTAAGTACATAGAACTTTATGTGATGTGCAAAACTCCTACAAAAGCCTATGATGCCCAGGTTAACTATACAAATGTAAGTTTAAGTTATGATTGCATACATGCAGACATAATGAAGCTCAAGATAATTGAGAAAATGAACTAGCACAAGTCCAGCTATTCCTGAGTGTGTGGAGAGAGATTTGGAGATCAAATAGATGTGTAAACTGATTGAGTTAAAGCGGGAATTGTCAGGTGTCGCCTAAAGAAATCAAGCAAATCTCTAAGCAAATATTTACTCATGTATGATTAAAAACATAAGACACATGCTGGTAAATGTGGAAGAAGCAAACACTAAATGGATACATTTATGTTTAGGACTGTTTCTTGAAAATAGAAGTTAATATGTGATATTTTCATGTTTGTTTTTTGATTTCCACAGATGGAACAAATTAAACGAGTCAATAAGCTATTCAGCAATGACTGTATATTCCTGCGAAACACTCTCAATATTCCTGTGAAGTCCAAAAAACCCTCCCTCTTTAATGGACTGTCTCTGGAGTCACCTGACAGCGAGGGTTGTACACTGCAGGAGTCGCTGTGCTCGAGTCAGGACATGGACGTCCTGTCCCCCCCACCAGAACCGGCCGTCCCGGAGCCCAACACCCGACCCGTGCAGGCGGAAGAGCTCTCTGCTAAAGACTTCTTGCACCGACTGGACTTACAGATCAAACAGTCCAAACAAGCCGCCCGCAAACTGAAAGAGGATGGTGAGAGGTAAAAGAACCTTTGACCTGCATGAGCGTCTCTCTGCCTTAACCCTTTCACACGTACGATCACACCGGTGTGATCAGTCTTGGCTGGTCCCTGGAGCGTACGATCACACCGGTGTGATTAGAACGGTCAGTGCATCACGTGATCAACTGCTAAATTCAAACGTGCTTTCGCGCGTTGGCTGGCGCTGAGCCAGAGACGGACACACTCAGTGCTGTCATATATCACAACTATTGAGTATTTTAAACCACATAATGTTTATTTTAGGTTTCAGACATTTAAATACACATAAGTACTAGCAAAACAGTGATTTTGAATTAGTAAAATAGACACTGATGTCTATGGAAACGGCTACAATAATCATTTCCATTATAATAAGACAAAACGTTTTATTCATATCAGATACCCATTGTGTAAGTAGCTTTACATTTTACCCTATTCTTCTCCTAGTTCACCGGCCACTTACTTTCATGTATTTCGTGAGAAACAACAGATCCGATTCTCTGAACTGTGAAACAAACTAACATGGCGCCGCCCATCGCACATCCAGCTCAACTAACGCGATCGTTATAAAGACGTTTAAACAACAAAACACATCCACTTGCACATATTTGACAATCGGAATATCAGTGTTTCATGCTATAGCTAATACATGTGTGAATATTTTGAATAGAAAAGGAAGAAAGACATAAAAGCAGATCATCATTCATTCAGCTCTGTGTTGTGATTGCGCTGTGTCACGTGACAAGAAATGACGCGTCACCATGGAAACATTAAAGTGGCAGGTTCTAAATAACGGTCGCCTTGAAAAACTCACGCTGGGGGGTCAGTTAGAATATTTTAAACGTACGTGCGAAAGGGTTAATAAACCTTCTGACCTCTTAATTAATGATGAACAGAAGCTCTGTTCCAAACCCTAGGAAGTTGCCTTGCTGTCTGTTGCCTGTATAGGCAGTGGCCCTTATAAGGCAGCATCCTAACTTAACACTCTCTATGGCCCTGTTTACTCCTGGAATTAAGATGCGTTTTTGTCGATCGGATCACAAGTAGCTGTTTTAATCAGTCTCTTTTATCCACTTTCAACCTCTTCTGTCCTGATTTCTTTGAGGTGAGAGTCTGTGGGCGGGTAAATATGTTTTTAGTTTTTTTAGGTCGATCTTAGTAGTCGATCTTTTGTGGTTGTTCCAATGCATTTGACCACATGAGCGCCTACATTACGAAAGCAATCCGGTCGAATGCGTTTTCAACTACTTCTGGAAGTGGTAGTAAGTGGTAGCCTGGCAAGCCAGACCTACATCAAGATGTTAGGTCTGGGAACTCACAATTGTCATACCTCAATCCGAGGGGCGGGATAAACGGTTGTCTTTCAATATCCCTCGGCAGCGCTACAACCAACCAGAGCAACGAACGGCTGTGGCTGAGTGAGTCCCATGCGGTTTTCCACCAGTGAACCAGCTAGTTGGTATATTAAACTTTTGCCGTATCCGGTCGTCAAAACTCTGAACACATCTTCCTGTTTTAGGAATGACTTAAGTGACGTTCTCTTAACTCCAAATCATCCAGAGTCGCGGCCAAAGCCGATTCGAAAGACCGCTGTTCGCCAGGCAGCATCTTCTTTGTTTTCAAGCAGAGGGAAATCACCTATGGAAATCACGCGGAACCGTCATAACCCTGCCGTCATTATGTTAAGCCCGCCCACCAACTCTACACGATCTGATTGGCCGGACCAGTTTTTGGTTTTCCAGCTCAAAAGTCTATGGAGAGTTGCTAGACCACACTTTGCTGCAAAATAATTTTTGCTGCCGCTAGGGTGCGTCTAGATTTCTAGGCTAAGTAAGTGGATAAGCTCAAAAAGTTTTAGACCCCGTTTACACCAGTATTTAGCGTCGTCTACTTGTGATCTGATCAAACAAAACACGTCTTTGGCCGGAGACACACTGGCTGCGTGGCGTGAGCGTCTCAGCTGCGTGGCGTGTCCGTTTTTATTTCGGCTCCCATGTTAACAGGTTAGAGCTTGCACACTGCCTGCGTGACACACGCGTCTCAGGCACGGCATGAGCCGCGCGGAAAACGCGTGCATGCTAGAAATAGAACCGACGCCTATTTTTCACGCGACACGCAAGCGTGTTGGAAGCGTTTGCAGGCAAAATAGTATAGGAAAAGATGTTTATATGTCATTTTGTACACGAATACATATTAATAAATTACATTTTGATGTTTGAAAATCTAGGTTTTTACATAAATTCAGATATAAATGTCTTTTTTTTTAATCCCATTATTTTTGCCTATATAATTTCATGTCATTTTATTTTTTAAACAGTCGAGTCCTGGTGTCCACTACAGAGGTCATAGCATATGAATAAAATATAGCCTATATATATTTTCATTTGTTTCTAATGCTCTTAACAATGTGATTACATGAAAAAAAATCAAAAAAAATCTTTGAAAAAAATCTTTCTGGGCCTCAGGTGGATATAAAGTTAGGATAGGCTACAATAACATTGTAGTGTGTCTTCTGAGTGACGGTCCAACATCAGGTAGGCTAAATATTGGCTCTTTAAAGCTACACAAAATTTGTAAATGTTTTTGAAATAAACAGACAGCCGCATGTTTCCCTATTTTTCGGATTTTGGAAGATGCGTGATAAAAGTTGAAATTGTTGTCGTAAAGGCAAGAGCAACAGTAATCCAAATGTAGACTGGTCTGTCGGCGCCCTCCCTCTATGTCACATATAGCGAAAATGTATTCGTGTACGCCACGCAGCGCCGCGTCAGACACGCTTCTGGTGTGCAAAGACACAGAAAACGCAACGCAGCCGCCCCACGCAGCTGACACGCAACAGAAACGCCACGCTCACGCCACGCAGCCAGTGTGTCTCCGGCCTTAATACCAGGTTTAAACAGGGCCTATGTGCCATTATGTCCATAAATTAATTTATTACTTGTTGGTCTTTGTAAATATGCACTAGACAGTCATGGACACACAGGACATGTTCTTCTTGTAAAAGCTAGATAGACCACATCTGAATGTAACAGAAAGCAGGGACAACTCTTGAACATCATTTTAAACATTTATAATACACCATCACAGGAATAAATTACATTTTAAAATATATGAAAATAGAAAAGCTATTTTAAGTAATAATAATTTACAATATTACTGATTTTACTGTATTTTAGATCAAATACACGCAGCATTGATGAGCATGTTACCCACCCCAAACTTTTAATGTAGCCATCAGAACTCAGAAGATTTCAATAGTTTGACATTTAACATGTTGCTAAGCAAAAGATGCCATAATCATATGATGCAACATAGTCAAATTTGCATAATTAAGGATAAAGTATTGAATGAATTATATTTGTAGTCAACGTTACTCTCAACTTTGCCCAGCATCTTATTTTTTTATATCTACCTTGTTGCGATTCATTTGTGGCATTACCTTATCTGTAAAGTTTACATGCAGAAATTGGCCGAAATAAGGAAGCATAATCTGTAGATTTTGAAAGAAGCACGCCTTTTTTTATTTTTTATGTTGCTGATCAGAGCACTTTTTTGGTCAGCAGCAGCAGTTGGCAGCGACTGGAGCAGAGGCCGACTGTGAACATTTGCTGACCTCTTGTAAGAAATTGAAACCTGTCCACCTACGGTGCAGTTTTTATTTGAGCTGAATCAGTCAGCCAGACTTGTGTCTGCATCTTTTAGTGGATAAGGCAGCAGTTGTTGTCTTCCCTCCATTTTAAGGCAATGGAAGTTGTTTGTCATATATTTACACAAACATACACCTGACATATTTCTCAGAGTGGAACCAGTCAAGTCAGTCCTGAAAAGACATCACTGACATGTCTACAGGCGTGAGCTTGATCACATGTTTATTCGCTCAAGAAGTGCTGCAATTTGGCACGCTTTTTGTAAATTGCAGGCTGTAACCTGTTCGAGTGTTAAACTGATGATATCAGCGCTCAAACTGGAAAATGGTGAACTTCATGCCAAAATATTTTCATAATTTATTTACCTTCATTTCATTGCAAATCTGTATGACTATATAGTTCTGTAGAACAGAAAAAGAGATGTTTTTTGATGTGACCTTACAGCTTAAAGCTGCGTTCACACTACAAGGGACTTTGTCGCTGCAGGTCGCCAGTGGCTGCACTGGAGGGCGTTCCCACTACTGGTTGCCTAGTAATGTTTGTGAGTGACATTCACGGATGTTACTCTATGTTAGACAACAAATATGTTTTCTTGCCGCTACAAACAAATATTTTGGAAAGGAAAAGTCTTAATATAAATGGAATCAGTACATAAAATGCATAATATTAAAGATGAACGAGAAACAGTGAGTGCTCTTTGCCATCGCGGCTATTTAACTGCAGAAAACGGGCAAATACCGGTCTATCTGGCTTCCCGAAACCATTCAGGTTAATAGGATAAATAATAGATAGACCATAAATAATAGGACAGTTTCTGACTGCTAAAATGACCTTCTCATTCAACTTTCCTCGGTCAGACTCAGCACTGAAGAGTGACGCGCTCCACTGACTTCACTCCTATTGGTTGTCGCTCCCGAAAGTCGCTCTGCATTTGCATAAAGTTAAACAGATTAAGGGTGTTCCGACTGATCGGTCGCCGATCATAATCGGCCGATAATTGCTTTGGGAAGTGTGATCGGCGGTCTCTATAAAGGCCGATCCAGAAAAGCCGATCAGATGACGCAAAACTCGCGAGACAATTTTTTTACTGGTAAAAATAGCTTCACCGGTCTGGGCTCTCAAGTGTCAAGCATTGAGCGTGACAGTCACTCATTTCGGTCTTTTGTCACGCTCTCCCGCCACACATTGTATTTCTCACGCTGAAAAACTATTTGTAATATATTTAATATGCCGCAGCGGCCAAAACTCTGGCCGCGCCGCTCTCACTGTGGAACCGGCATGAATGAAGCGCGTTTCCTCTGGTGTTGTTCGTCGAGCTACACAATAGCCAATCAGAAAATAGCACTATTGTATCTGGGTAAGATTTAACGCAACAACCAATGACAAAAATGTATCCAACCCCCGTGCGTCCGTCAAATCACTCGTACATATTTTCTCTCATCAAAACTGAATATGTTCATCAGCGGTTACAGTTATATCAAGCAAGGATACGTTTGTGTTTTATTTTGTGATTACACCGGAATGAATAGAGTCCGCAATGGCGATAGATTGAAGCGCGCGTCCGAGTGAAGCCTGCGCGAGGCACAGAACACTGTATCCATGCAACTGATCGCCGCGGCAACAAGCGCGCAGCTTGAGTTCAAAAACACATTTTAGCGCTAGATTTCTTATTTAATAGCGAACTAAATGAATGATCTGCTAGTTAACTGAAGATGTTTTATTTATTTATATTAGGTACATGGTGGGACAGACTTCACTGGATCTAAAAAAATCAATCTAAACATAGATATGACCAGTAGTGGTGGCTTTCTTAATCTGTTTAAAATAATTTTGCAAGGGTTCTACACACACACACACACACACACACACACACACAAAAAGGTTTGTCTACCTCTCTCTTCCTCTCTAAATGCCCACAAAATCTGACGAAGCATCCCAGAAAAAAGCAAAGTTATAGATACAGATATGGAAGTTGTTATTTTTTTTTTTTTTTTTTTTTTTTTTTTTGTTGCTGTGCACTTTACTACCTGTGGTCCTTTAAGTGTATTAGAAAAACTGATGGCTGACTGACTCTAAAAGCAGCAACAAAAAAGGCTATAGTCAAAATAATGTTTAAAGTAGTCTAAAGCTAAATTTAAAGACTCAGATGTTCTGTCTTTTATTCATTTTATTTTATATTCTACAGGAAAGTTGTATGTCAAGCCCTAAGCTGCTCCCAATAACCAAGCTGCTATGTTAATACATGTTGCTTGCAAATAAATACACAAGTGTCAATTCATTATGCATTGTCTTCTCTTAAATGTAATACTTAATTGTACATTGTTGTTAAATATAGTTTAATAAGTAATGCTACATGATAAAAAGAAGTCTTCAAATAGACCCTGTAATCGGTGATCGGTATCGGTATCGGGTGATACAGCTTCCAGTAATCGGCGATCGGTGATCGGCCCCAAAAATCCTGATCGGAGCACCCCTAAAACAGATCTCAACTTTGTCGCGTCGCCAGACACGCCCCATCCAGTCGCCAACGGTCGCGACCGCGCGTGTCGCCGGAAGTCGCCCGCTCACCATTGAAAATGAATGGTATCGTGTCGCGTGTAGTGTGAACGCAGCTTAATAACTATAGCCTGTCAAGGTCCAAAAATGACACAAAAGCACCATGCAAGTAGTCCATACGAGTCATGAGCTGTATTCCAAGTCTTCTGAACCCATACAATAGCTTTTCAAGAGGACTGTCTGAAATTGCAGTATTCAGTGTACATTTGATTCCTCTTGATTTTCCTTGGGCAGCTTTAACATTCTGGGCAGTTGAGTTAGTGTTCAGTGCTTCTCAATCTGCCATGAGACACACAGGCAGCAATTGTGTTTGTCGTCATTGATGTCAGAATACACTAGGGCTGGCAAATGATGACAGCATTTTGTTTATTGGGTGAACTATTCCTGTAATTAATTTCCTGGGTGTAATACATTCTCGCTCAATCATTTGATAACTGGTGTGTAAAAAAATACTGAATTGATGAACATGTTCTCTCTGCTGGTGTAAGAGATATGAGTACAGTGGCAGAAAACTGCTCAATTAATCATGAAGATCTGGAAAGGAAGTAACACACCCTCAGTACACATGCGCTCAACCATGTCCTCGATCAAACAGAAGTGACATTTTGATCTGATCAATGTTGCGACTGAGTCATGGAAATGATCAATGGCCAGGCAGTGCCGATCATCAGTCGTTTTCTCCACATACAGGAACTGCCAATCCAAAACCTCTAATCTAGTAATATTTATTGACTGGCAAACATGCTCGTTTCAATTAAAACAGATTTCCGGTGTTTAAACAGTCTGTTTGGGGAATATAGGAAGTCAAACAGGGCCAGGTCAGAGCCTGATACGGTTGTTTCCACAGATGTCTCATTGAACTTCTGGATGTGGAAATGATTAAATCTGTGAGGGGGGCCTTAAAGGAATTGTCCACCCAAAATACAAATTCTGCCATCATTTACTCACCCTGATGTTGTTCCAAACCTGTATGACCTACTTTCTTTAGTGGAACAAAGACGATATTTTGAAGCATGTTGGTAACTAAACAATTTTGGTTCCTGTTGACTTCAATTGTATGAGAAAAAAAGACAATGGAAGTTGCTCATACAATTGAAGTTGGGTGTCATCAGTGTCTGTTGAGTAAGTTACTCTAAAAAAAGTAATTAATTACTAGCTACTAATTACATCTTCAGCAGTGTAATTAGATTACTTAACTTTATAAGTAATGTTTATTTTATTGCATTACTTATTACAAATTACTTTCTAAATCCCACATCAACCTCGACCATTTGAACAGTTAAGGATAGACCTGAAACTGCTCTTTTAATGATTTCAGATAAATCATGTAAAATTGCATAAATACCAAAGTATTTAAAGGGAGGGAGAAGGTTACATTTAAAATATACATTTTAACATTTGACATTAAGATTTGTTCTATAGTATTTAATGCAATTACATCAGAACTAATTAAATTGCAGAAAATTAAGAGTAATCCCTTAATTAAACTACAGTAATTAACTACTTGGTAACACATTACACCCAACACTGACATGTGTGTGTGTGTGTATATATATATATATATATATATATATATATATTCTATTAGTGTTCCAGCTGATTTTTTAAATATTGTTTGTCTGTGTTTAATTTCAGAGAGGAAGATGACCCAAGCAACTCAACATCATCATATCAGGAGATCTGATGGACTCTTCTTCATCTGTTTACCTGCAGCGCTGACAATGACCCATCATCATCTTCATCTTTCCATCCCTCTTTTGCCTACTTTTTTTTAACTCTCTCTTTACCCAAACTGCAACACATGACCACAGGTCCATCATTGCCTTCTTCAGCAGTATTATAGTGATTTTATTTCTGATTTTTATCATCACTGTTCCATCTCGCATAACAGTAAAGATTCTACAGCCGAGTTTGTCTTCTTTAGGAAGAGCTATAGCCGTCCACATGCAGATCACAAACTTATGATAACCACAGTCTATGCTCATATGAAACTGTATGTGCAGTCTATCCCATATAACGTATAACAGAAAAGTATCTGGACTCTGTGTGGCTGCCTGCTGATTTTAATTTATTGTTTTGTTTGCCTATAAAAGCTTTATGTGTGGGGTTGAAAGGGATAAATAATGCTGTTTTGGTGTGAATGTTGTGTTTGTGTGTTGGGGTTTAAGAAAAATGTTTTACTGTGCTGTTTGATTTGGGTTATGCAGAATAAATGCTTCTGTAAGCTGATCATAAGAGCTTCCTGTTTCATAGATCTGCAGCAAAGTGTTGGGTTATTATTATAGGATGGATCTCACCCTTCAGCATTGCCACAGGCTTCTATGAGTTTCCTACGCAGTTTGGAAAAGTATGTTTTATTTGAGTAATTTCCAGGGCAGGATAAGTATGAAAAAAAAATATTAGTTTTCTAAAATATATTAAGAATTTCTAGAAATAAATGTATACAAGCAGAGTATTTTCATGGCAAAAGTTTAATGATCCTGATCCTGTAGTGATTGCCGAACACAATTGAATAAATTTAAGGCGCACGTTTTCATTACGTAAAGCTCTGTCTTTTACCATATGCAAGTCTCTTTTGAACATCGCTAATCGAATGTGCGTGTGCCACTTAAACAAGAAGCAAATGATCAACTAAATCATGCTGTACTTTGTTAAACATTCAACATCAAACCACGATTACAGTTATATATGTAGGTTATAAAGAGTTTTAGGTTTCTTCTCATCGTGTAAGTGCATGTTATCACTTCGAGAAAATCACTGAAAAAATTCGGAGAAAACTATATTTACAAGTGACCGTTCTAGCAAAAGCAATGGTGAAAATGATGCTGTATGAACCATTTATGTTAAATATGGTCTGAAAAATCTACAGAGAGATTTGGAGATTTGAGTCTGGAAAAGTGTAATTTTGAAATGGAAAATGTGTAGGAGCCCTGCCTCTAACAAACACCCAGGCAGTCGAGATTTTAACAGTCCCCTGATAAATAAATTCTTGGCAGTTTTTCTACTGAACGAAAAGTAAAAGTTAGTTGCAACATTTGTCTATACGTAAGCCTATACATATTTTGACTGAACTTATGATTGCACTTGCAATGCAACAAGGACACTTAAGTTAATAGAACTTAATTATTATTTTTGATGCTCGGGGGGTGCTGATCTTAAGATGAATACATTAACTGTCTAATGTATAGTTTTTTAAATATCTCGAATGTGTTCATTAATTGTGTTCACTAGTTTGAAGTGTGAGAGATCATTCATATCAGCCTGCCAGATGCAAAGCTTGTGGCCATGACGGGAATTGTTTTCTGATGTTCTCCATAAATTAGCATTGTTTGTCTGAATGCACTACATTTAGAGCTAATTTGACTTGGCAACCGGTTTATGATGATTATATGACTATATCATCAAACTAAACCAAAAACAACAAAATGGAAAAATCAAATGATCAATAAGATGGTTGAATATTAAGTGTCCCCAACTAAGCAAGCCAGAGGCGACAGTGGCAATGAACCCAATATTCATCAGGGGACAGAATGAAGAAAAAAACCTTGGGAGAAACCAGGTTCAGTCGGGGGGGCAGTTCTCCTCTGGCCAACGAACAAACACGGTTGTGATTATGAAGTCAGAATTCAGATCGGGATCATTCAAATATTCATCCAGTTCCTTTTGCTTGAAGATCGGATTCATCACGCCAGTATGGAGATGAAGCATATGGTCTGTGGGGACTGGGGAGGACCTGGTTCTTGTGGTCTTTGCTGAAGATCTGTCAGTCAGGAACCTGGGTGTGCTTTTTGATACCAATCTTTCACTTGAAAGCCACATTTCTAGCATCTGTAAAGCTGTATTTTTCCCATCTTAAAAATATATCTAAATTATGACATATGCTCTCAATGACAAATGCAGAAAAGTTAGTTCATGTGTTCATGACCTCAAGTCAAGTCACCTTAATTTATATAGCGCTGTTAACAATGTTTCAAAGCAGCTTTACAGTGATAATAGGAAATTACAGTAACAGATATTACAACATTTGATCTGTACAGAGGTAAAGGGAAGGTAGGGAGGCCTTCACAGGGGAGAGACTAGTCAACACTTCAGGACTGCGTTGTCGTCGGGTTCAGGCTTCAGGCGCAGGTCCCTCATCAGATCTGGATACGGCCTGGATCCGGCGGGCTGCGGTAAACCTCGGGATAAATAGAGAGACTAATATTAGCGTAGACGCCATCCTACTTATGATGTAACGAGCACATCAGGATTTATGGGAAGTGTTCCCGGTTCCGGCTGACCTAATCTATGCAGCCTAACATTGAATTATAGAAGTCTATAATGTGTTATGTGTATGTTAGGTCAATGAAATGTGTTTTTAGTCTAGATTTGAACTGACAGAGTGTGTCTGCTTCCCAGACAATGCTAGGAAGACTGTTCCAAAGTTTTGGTGCTAAAAAGGAAAAGGCATTATCAACTAGGCGGAATTTTGAGACCGCAATAGACGTGAAGGACTATGTTAAGAGCTCGCTCAAGTACTGGGGAGCAAAACCATTTAGTGCTTTGTAAGTAATCAGCAATATTTAAAAATGTATACAATGTTAAAAAGGGAGCCAATGCAGTGTTGACAGAACCGGGCTGATATGGTCATACTTCCTGGTTCTGGTAAGAACTCGAGCTGCTGCGTTTTGGACCAGCTGTAGTTGGTTTATTAAAGCGATAGTTCACGTAAAAATGAAAATTCTGTCAGTAATTACTCACCCTCATGTTGTTCCAACCCCGTAAGACTTTCGTTCATCTTCGGGACACAAATTAAGATATTTTTGATTAAATCTGAGAGCTGGATCACTCCTCCATAGGCTTCTAAGGGATTGAAACTTGCCGGCCCAGAAAAGTTATAGTCAGAGTGACTACAGTGGCTCAATCTTAAGTTTATCAAGCGACAAGAATACTTTTTGTGCGCAAAAAACAAACAAAAATAACTTTATTCAACTATTAATTTCCTTCTCTGTTGGCCTCGAGTTACCGTAGTTCACGTAGTGTAACTGTGCAGCGCTTCTGGTTGTACGTTGTACTTCCACCTGTTCACCCCTCAAACATGGAACCACTCACAGCTGTAGCCAATAATGGCCCATGGAGGTCACTATAAATCTGGGATCTGTGCTTCACTCAAAGGGAGTCCATGTGCATCTTCACCCAGGACGAGGTGAAGATGCACATGGAAGCCTAGAGTGAGACTGGCTGAAGAGAAAGAAAAGACACAATTAACCTTATAACCTCTGCCTTACCAACTTTGACTTTCGTTTTTCCTGTCTTCCCCCTTCAAGGAGGCCTAGAGTTCAAGCAAACGGTAGGAACGCAGCTGTCACGAGTAGGCCGGGAAGAATCTATGTTCCAATTTGGATCCCTTTTGGCCATCCTATATATTTTTTGTTAAATAAAAGGCAGTTTCTGTTAACGCTGCCGCCGTCTCTCTTGTGGTTGTGTTTTGTGGCAGCTGAAACCTCTCCTTGCTTTGGGCCGTGTCACAATACACAGTGGCAGGGCAGTTCAAGTACAGGGTGGAGCCCAGTTTGAGGTAGTGGAAACGGAGTAGCCTAGGACTATATGACCTCTTTTAACTGCACATGGAATATTACATAAACCATAAAACTGATGTTGCCCTCTCCAGGATGCTGTGGTGGTGCTATCGATGTATTCTGATCAGCTAAAAGCAGAATATTTAATATCTGTGGAAATTACACCCAGGGCAGTCGTTAGAGGGGTGAAAGGTGGTTACTATCTAGGGGCCCACGGATTTGGGGGGACACAGTGATTCCAACCGAGGGGGACCCATCAACACCCCCACCCCCACCCCCGCCCCCGATTTCAACCGAGTGGGGCCAACAGCAACCAAATGCACCGGAGCCCCGAATACTAGTGTTGCCAAGTCTGCGGTTTTCCCATGGAATTGGGGTACTTTTACACTGTTGCAGCAGAGGTTTTAAAACCTTCTTTTTTTTTACAAGGGAACCCCCAAGAACACGATTGGGCTAGTTTTGGGCAGGTTTTGAAAAGCAATTGGGCTGGTTTTGTTACGTGAACCTGGCAACCCTGCCGGATATCTTAGTTACGGCCCTGATTACACCCATCAGAACTGTTTAAATGATCGATCTAATTTTTACAGTCATTTGATTTATAGTCCAACAGGATCGAAAAAAAAAAAATGACAACCACACAAGTTACGTATTTAAAGAAAGGCAATGTTTAATAGAGTTTTGGAAAAAATCACAATATGTACATTTAAAAATACTCGATTTTTGTGAATCTATAGCATGAGGAATATACAGAGTCGAATAGTGAAGCAAAACCAAGAAAACCAAACTTAAGATAGAGATGGGAGATATAAAGATATAAAGACTGCCCCATATTGACTGGGAGAGAAAACAACAAAAGAGGAAAAGCAATTCACTGACAGTCAAAGCTGATTTTTTGGTTGATTGAGAAACAATAATACAGGTTGATTTCCTTCATCAAATCAGATCAAAAGAGGAAAAAATGCTATACACCATACATTTATGAATGTTATATGTTTATGATACTGTAAAAGTCTATTGCAAAAGAGGTGCAAAAGCTTCTATGCAAGTCATACAAAAAAGTCCACTAAATTTCATTCTTCTAGGTAGCCAATGCTGTTATTCTGTCCTAATGTGTAAAAACACTTACAACTCAAATGTGATTTGTGGCTTGTCTAGAACTAGATTGCTTCCTATTGCTGACTGCACTAAGAGAGGATATTGCCTTCAGGAGGAAATACTGTCTGAGTTGCAGACTAAATCTTATTTATTAGGAGTTATAGCATTAGGATCTGTGTTAGTATGCCCGGTCGAAGTATTTAGTAGACTCGCTGTTACACTATAACATGTGAAGCTGTTCTGGCTCCTACAGGCTTCCGTAGATTCTCTTGATGACATCACCTTCCTCCTTCTCGAGGATGCCTTTATCGATGTACGCGTCCACCTGCTGGTCCATGAAGTCCCTCAGCTTAGAGAGGTCGTAATCTTAGAAACGCAAACAGAGAGAAGAACACAGAAACTCATCAGACGGACTAAAGCACTTCACAATAGGGACTCTGGAAATGGTGCCATTTGTGTGCCCCAATAACTTAATATTCATATAAATACTCATATTCAACTTACAACTCATACAAAAAAGTTCAGCATACTTTGGTCACATTAACCAATAGATAAAAATAGGTTTAAAGCTGCAGTCGGCAAGTCTGGCAGATTGAGTGGACTTGTGAATTTTGAATGTTTACAGCTCTCATGCCCCTCCCCCACTATCAACGGATACCCTCCCACCGAGTTCGTGCTCGTCAGTGCGTGTGCACCAGGTTATCTGTGAACGCCCGTCTCATCAGCATCCATCAACACCATGGAGTATTTGGAGGTATGCTGCCCTGGCTAATCTACCGATAGATTGCAATTGCTAACGTCATTTATACTCTAAATGAGCTTACTTGATTTGTTAGTGTTTTGAAAGCGAGATACATCCGCCATCACTCTTCGTTACTGCGCGAACTTCAGGCGTGTGCATGTGATTGTAACGTGCGCGAGGGGTGGCGTGTGCCCGATCTGTGATTGACAGTCAGATCTCACACCCCCCTGCGCTGATTGGACCCGATGATCCGGGAGCTGTGGATTTTTGCAAAACAAATAACACGCTCCAGGTGGAGTTAGAAGCTCAGGTTTTTTTTCTAAAACCACTTTATTTATGTTGTTCTGTCGGATTATAGTGTCGATTTCACTGAATATGATAAAAAAAAGTTGCCGACGGCAGCTTTAATGTGTAATGCATTAGTAAATTTCCGTTTATCATCAAAATATAAGCTAATTGAATGTCTTCAATCATCTTCATTTCACAACACATCACTGTTCAAATGATTTTCGTGTAAATAAGACAACGGTTATTGGAGTACTTTTTATAAGAAAATACTAATTTAGTCTTTCTTCTTCAAAATTTTATGTTTAAGTAAAGTCAATGTGTTACATGCCGTTTCTATAGTGAAATTTACTAGCAATATCTGAGTACATTTTCATTGATGTTACATATTTAAAAATGCTACAACTTTACTGCAAAGTTACTTTAAAAAAAATATATAAATTAAATATTTTTAATGATTATTTAATACTAAACAATTTGATATTTTTTCCCCTTAAAAATAATAAAAATAAAGGTTTGATCTTTCAGACATCATGTTAACCAGAGAGGCATTATAAAAGACATTATACACTCACCTAAAGGATTATTATGAACACCATTATTATGTTTACAAAAGAGCCGAGACACACAGAAACCGTATTACATGTTTTTTTACTGAACTTCCTTCTTCCTCCACACCCACGCATGCGCACACCATAAACATCGCGCAGCTGATTCTATAACAACCAACACAGCTAGTTTACTTCATAATAGTAGCCCCCTTGTTATTCCCCTAACAGTGTGTAAATAAATGATTTTAGTTAATTATGTGAACACAACATTTCCCCCTCCCTCCCAAGAACTAAACTTATGCAAAACTGAGTCCTTACCAAAACAATTGAACAGTCCAATACCTAGTGCAAGGCCTACACTGTCACTCTGTGACAAAGTCCTTTAAGTAAGCAGGGCGGACCCTGGCCCTTACGGGTTGGCCCTCCGCAACCTCAGGCTGCGGCCATTCCAGAACCGCTGGGCAGTTCCCCATAGCTGGACTTGTGGAACAGCCCAGCCCTGGATCTGACTGACGGCCAGGGGAAAGCAGGTGAGATTGCAGGTCAGGGGCAGGTTGCTGGGGCGCTGGTGACGGTACGGCCTGAGGAGTATGGGAAGCCTGCTGTGGCCCTGTACATATCGGCACAGGTGGAGGAGGGGCCGATGGCAGTGGAGCCACCATTTCCTCACCTGGGTTCCGCACTTTCCTCAGTCTTTTAGCATGCCATCGTGATCCGTCACTAAGCATGAATGTGGCTGGGCCCAGCTGGCGGTGCACCTGAAAGGGCTGGCTCCAGTATGAAGCCATCTTGTTGCCCTGATGCGGCCTACGTGCTCGAACCCAGTCACCTGCGGTAATAGCCGTGGCCTTGACCCTGTGTTTCCGGTCAAAATACTGCTGCATCCGTTGCTGGTGTCGGTTTACAGCGGCTTTGGTCCGAGCCTGAGCGCTGCCGGCTGTAGGCACTGCCATGCCTTGTGCTTTAAGTCTGTCCAGTGGCAGTTCCATCTCCCGGCCCAGCATGAGGAGTGCTGGAGAGGCCCCGGTTGTAGCGTGTTGGCTGGCCCTGTAGTGCATTAAGGTTTGGTTGAGTGCTGTCCGGAATGTACACCCCTGAGCCAGGTGGGCCCGGACGCCATTCCTTAGGCTCTGGTTGAACCGCTCCACACCGCCATTTGCTTGTGGATTGTAGTATGCTGTGCGGATGTGTTTGATTCCCCTATCACTGAGGAACTGAGAAAAGTCTGCAGAGATGAACTGGGGTCCATTATCTGTTGTGATGGCACGAGGCATGCCCCAACGCGCGAACAAGACTTCTAGAATGTCTGTGATTACCTGGGTTGTGACAGTTCCAGCCGGAACCACTTCAGGCCATTTCGAATGGAGGTCGTACAGCACCACAAGGAAACGCTGATGATGGGTAATTCCACGGCCATGGATCTCTCCACAGATGTCAAGCTGGAGATGTTCCCATGGGCGGGACGGCCATGGAACCGGCTGCAGAGGGGTTGGCACTGGAGGTCCAGTTTTCCCACTAAGGAGCCATGGCACACAATCTTTAACGAGGGCTTCAATATCACGATCGATGCCTGGCCACCAGATGAGATCTCGGCATCGCTGTTTGAGTTTAACAATGCCTAGGTGCCCCTTGTGTGCCATGGATAGCACGCGGGCCCGCAGACTACAGGGCACCACGGTGCAAAAGCCTCTGGAGACACAAACATCACCCCAACATGAAAGTTCATCACGCACCCTTGTGAATGGCATGAGCTCGTCACAAACCTTTGCTGGCCATCCAGAGCGAATGTACGTGCGTAGCGAGGACAGTGTGGGGTCACGCTCTGACTCCTGCTGCAACTCCTCCAATGACACGGCCGACTGCAAGGGCGTGTGAAGCATGTGAATTAATTCAGTCTCTGTGTCCTCGTCAGGGGAGACCATGGGTGTGGGGGCATCGATGGAACAAGAGAGTAAGTCGGCGACTACATTCTCCCTTCCGGGGGTAAATTTCAGTACATAGTCATATTGCCTCAGCCTTTCCCCCCATCTGTGCAGGCGCAGGGGTTTATGACCGGATCCAGATGCCGTCAGCAATGCGGTCAGGGCCTGATGGCCAGTCCTGAGGGTGAAACGCCGTCCGTAGAGGTAAAGGTGCCACCTCTCTGAAGCCCAGGCAAGCGCCTCACGTTCACCCACCGAGTAGCGCTGTTCTGTTGGTGTTAATGCCCTGGAGGCGAAGGCTACAGGTCTCTCCACCCCGTCCTGCACCTGTGAGAGGACTGCACCAATAGCCCGATCTGAAGCATCACAGGTGACTAGAGTCAGACATTCAGGGTTGAAGTGGGCCAGTACAGGAGGTGTTGTGAGCTGGGCTTTCAGTGTTTGTACGGCCTCAGAACATGCTGTAGTCCATTGCCATTGCTCTTCTTTTTTAAGCAGCTGGCGGAGGGGTGCAGTGGTCTGTGAGTAGTGGGGCAGGAAACGGAGGTAGTAGGCCGTCATGCCTAAAAATGAGGCCACTTGAGAGGCTGAGGTCAGCTCTGGAATCCTGTGTATGGCATCGACATTGGACTGTAGAGGGGAAATCCCTTTGGCTGACAAGCGGAATCCAACAAAGTCGATGGCTGGGGCAGCGAAGCAGCATTTTTCTGGGTTCAGAGTCAGGTTGTTCTGAAGAAGGGCTTGAGCCACCCTCTGGAGGTGCTTGTTGTGTGTCTCGATGTCTTGGGCATGAATAACAATGTCATCCAGAAAGACCGCTACCCCAGGGATGCCGGCCAGTATTGTGCTCATCACCTTCTGAAAGCAGCTAGGGGCGGAGCATAATCCAAAGGCCATTCGAGTGTACCGGAACACCCCAGCATGCGTCACGAAAGCAGTGAGGTCCCTGCTGGCTGGGTGGAGTGGTACCTGCAGGTAGCCCTGACGCAAGTCAAGCTTTGTGAAGACTGTTGAGCCGTGAAAGTGTGCGGTGAGCTCCTCTGAGGTGGGCAAAGGATATCTGTCTGGAATAACTGCTTTATTCACCAAGCGTAGGTCCACGCATATTCTTATTCCCCCAGATTTTTTCTTTGCAATGACTAGGTTTGAAATCCAGGGAGCAGCGTTGACTGGTTCAATAATTCCCATGTCCAGGAGTGTCCCAAGTTCGCGGGTGACCTCGTCTCTCAAGGCAAAGGGGATCCTGCGCAGGGGCTGGATGACAGGTGACACGTCCGGGTTCACCAGAGGCCTGTGTGTGAAGGCTGAAAGACAGCCTAGGCCATCGAACAGAGCCGGCCACCTTTGCTGCCAAGTGGAGGTGATGTGGTGAATGTCGGAGCCAGCATCATCCCGGAGCGTGAACCCCAGGCCTGTGAACAGGTCCAGGCCTAGAAGGTTGGCTCCCCTCCTCGCAATGTGAAAGGGAAAAGATGGTAGGTGCTTGGAGCCATAGTGGACCGGCACGTGGAGCACACCTAGGATGTCAATCCTGGAGCTGTCATAGCCACATAGAGCGGTGGCAGGATGATCTAATGGCAGGTGAGAGAAAAACTTAAAGTAAGTGCTTGAATTTAGGAGCGATGCAGCCGCACCAGTGTCCATTAATAAGGGTAGGGTTACGTCGGCTAACTGGACGGTACATGTTTTGAACGCCACCTGACCGGCAGTCACATTTCGGATCTCTGTATAGTTGTGCTGAGCTGGTGGAGGTCCAGTGTGTTGTGGGAGCGTGGCCGGGGCTGAACGGCACATCTTGGCAAAATGGTTGTGCTTCAGACAGTTTCTACATTGTTGTCCTTTGGCAGGACAATGCTGTGCCTTAGA